TACTCTAGTTGAAAGCAGCCTTTGTAATGGAAATTATCGTTGACCGCAAACATGCCTGACCCTCTGCACATGAATAACATTGGCTAACGTAACTGTTAGAATCAAACCGTAAGAAATATAGTTACCAACATTTTTTATAATCATACAATAAACAAGATGTAGATTATTTTTATTTCTTAATTAAAACTTTAGCTATACAGCATATTTCTAACACAAAGCCAAGCTGCCCTATAATAATAATCAGTAGGCACCTCAGGAAAGTCGGCTTGTTTTACCATTGCTAGTAGACTTGTCTTTCTGCTGGAGACATGAAAGATACGATACAGTATGAATATGCATGTACGTAAATACAGAATTCTGGTTATACAGAATCTGGTGTGGTATTCATAGAATCATAGAATACCAAGTTGGAAGGGACCTCAAGGATCGTCTGGTCCAACCTACCCCATGTAACCTTTCAGACTGATCACAAATTCTGCACACTACGCAGCCTTCTCTGGTGTCCAAATCCATCCTTCTCACTAGAGATTTTAATGGGAATGGATCCTCCTCACCAAGAGCCATTTGTGTAAGCCAGCACAGAGCCTCGGAAAGAAAACGGTAACCTCATGAAAGACCACTTACTTAACCTCCTCCCTTCCCTTCTCCCCATTTGCATCAAACCTTGACCAACTTACTGAACTCCTCCCATGCAAATCTGGAAGCCAAAGCAGCTGTGACATGGAAACCCATTAAAAAAAACAAAAAAAAACAAACCCAAAAAACCAAAACCATTTAAAAAATCACCACCACACCACTTTTTGACAACTGAAGCTTGGACAGAAAGATCAGATATTTTTGACAGAATGCTATCCTTGGCTGCTGTTGCCACTCTCTCTCCAGTAAAGTGTTGTGGCTGAGAAACACGTTAACACATCTCCTACTCCAGCTCTCAGCTGCTACGAAAGGGGTTTCATCACTTGGAAATAACTTGCATCTCTATCTGAGCTGCCTTCCAGTTGACAGCACTGGAGAGTTGCAACCATCTTAACATAGCATATTTATCTCTCTCTGAAGCTTTTAGAAAGATTATCTAGCAACAGAGGCAACATACATATCTGTCCTCTCAAAGACGACTTTTCATAGATAACAATTATGTCTGCATGTTTAGAAAGATAAGAAATAACAAAGAAACAACCAAATCTTAAATGCTGCAGAAAATGGCCTTGCATAAAATGCATCCTCATTGAATAAAGTTCTCTACTTTATAGCTGAGTAAATTTTTTGCACTGCAAACGTTAGTTAATTAAGGCTGTAACAAGAAAAAGTCATTAATTCGTAAAAGAGTAGTTAAGTGGGAACACCTACCATAAATAAAGACCCCATTGTGTTAGGCTGCATGTCATGGTATTTATAGCTTGACCACAAATGCAAGTGTGGTGAGTCTTGAGCTTCCCCCACCCTCCAGCTTTCTTTTCTTAAATCCGCAATGTTTTGCAGCGTATACCAAGGATTTCTTAAAATTACCTGACTGGTTCCTATCTATTACAAGATCCTCAAAAAGCTGCTTTTACAAAGCAGTATGTCAAGCATTACTCTAGCAAGACAGGTTAGTGAAGCCAGAGAGTCAAATCCTGCAGTTCATGACACCACTGTAAGTCAAGAGAAGCTCCCTGAAAGCCACACCTGACAGAATTTATTGGGCCAGAAAATTTCAAACTTAATTCTCTTGATCCTCTACCTTGCTATCCATTTACTGTGGTTTGAGTTCAGGTTTGACAATCAACTACTCAGTACTTACTAATACAAGGAGAGGACAGCGAGCAGCATGCTATTTGGCAGAGAGCACAAAGGAGTTTTTCTGCCTGTTTACTTTCTAGCCAGCTTATTCGTTCAGTCACCTAAGAAATGTATTGCAATCTCCAATAATTAAAAAAAAACCAAAAAAAGGTGGTTCTGCAGATGGTCTGAAATACAGTTCAGCATACATTGAAGCAATGGACATACGACAACTGAGTCCATTCTCTAAAAAAAGACTATTTACACTTTTTTTAGTTTTGTAAAAAATGTTCAAGCAAACTAAACTGGCAAAAAGTGTTACAGGTTAAAACACACAAACACCCCCCTCTACAAAAAAACCCAAAAGAAAAGAGCGAAAGGAACAAAAAATACTAATTTTGAACAACATCAGCCCTTTGGCTCATTATATAGGGACTGCGCGTGGGACAGCTGCATCACGTAGTCTTCAGGTTCATAGATACTAAAATAACAAATTCATACATTGGGCGTACATATAGCACATTGTTATGAACATGTGTATGCACATAAACACACAGTAAAAGCAGTTATCAACATTCTAGAGACTTTTAAATTTATTTATTTATTTTTTAAATCTTTTGGCTGATGATGCTGAGTCGCTAAGACTTTTTAACTAATGTGTGCAGCTCAAATGACTTTGGGTACTCCGAAACAAGCATTACAAGCTCTATCTATTCACTTAGTGTTTCTGAATGAAAACCCAGCCCTATTAAAATCAAAGGCCAACTCCTATTGACTTATGTGGCTTAATACGCTCTAAAATCCACAGCTCCAATTTTGCCCTCCTTTATACTAATGAAAATCCTAAATAATTGCTCTGAAGTCAGTACACGCTCATAGGATAAAGATGAAAAGAGCGCGAGGGTCATTTTATAGCTTAGCTTGATACTTTTGTGACTGATTAACTCCAGCGTCACAAAGAACATAAGTGCCTTTGATTTGTATGTTTATGTAAAATAATGGAAAATCTGGGATATCAGATTGACCCACAATAAAATTGTGCTGTGGAAGACTGATTCAGAAGGGTATTCATGTTTTAGAATATGTTACGAATGAAAGAGGCTTCTGGAAAGACTGTGAAGAAGGGACAGAAAGCGATGCTCAAACACTGTGCCAAAAGAACCTGAGGCTTTAATCACGAGACAATTTACTTTTTACAAGAAATAAAAACTAGTTAATGATGTCAACTATATGCAAAGACAAGTGTTCAGAAAACCCCAGAAAAATCTGGTGAAGCATGCAATGGTCATTGGTACGTGTAAGGCACGCGTTTGCCTCTTTGCTGCACACCTTCCAGGCACACTTTGCTCCATCTCCTGTTTTGGGCAAGTTAATGGCGCGGACAGTGCCCTAACACCACAGAATTACTGGTATTACCCCCTCTCTGCTCACAGGGTCCTCTGCTGCCTTGGAAGAATGGCCTTTAATTGTTTAATAGTTCGGCTCTTTTGAACCGTTAGCAAATCCACCGATCAGATGGGTTTGGAATTCAGAAGAGTATAAACGCAATGTTCTTATGTACAACTAAAAGGAGTATTCTGCTGCAAGCCAAGCTTGGGTTTATATCACCTACAGTTCAGTAGACAAGAAAATCCATTTCCCCTTTTCTAGAACAGCTGAGAGAAAATAAATTATTTGCTTGCCTTGTGGGGAAAATAAAAAAAAAAAAGAGAAAAAAAAAATCTTTCTTTCGAATTTCACAGACCCTTTCATGCGTGAGTTCTCACTGCAGGAGTGTATTCTGGTTAGCCTGTAGTCTTGTTTTTCTAGGACTGAACACACTGAACGATCACTAGCATTAACTCAGACAACTAACGTGGTCTTAAAAGGCCGCCTATTTTTTTTCCCCATGTTCACATTTTAGAAAACAAATTCTCTAAAAGTTTAACCAGTTCTATTGAGGAACTTCTCACTGCACAATTGATAATTAAATGTAAATTATAAAAAAAGTTAATTTCCCTTTGCATTTTCTAATTTTTCAGGCAGATTTTTTTTCTCTTAAAAACGTCGTACAGATTTGTATGAGCAACAGCCAAAACCCATGCGTTTGTTAAGCTTCAACCTTGATTTTCAAAAAGGAAAAAAAAAACAAAACCAAACAACAAAACCCCAAAGCCGAAGCCCACAGAGCAGATGGGATGCGGTGCCAGGGCTTAACGGTGTTTGGGCTGCTCCCACAGCACGAAGCTCCCGCAGGCCCCGCCAACGCCAGGCCCAGCAGCTCAGGCTCCCACCCGGGCTCTCCTGCTGCTGACGGGAAAACCTTCCAGTCACATCAGGTCAGGCTCCGAAGTCTGCTTTAAAGAAAAGCCTGCACCCAAGCCTCAAAAAAAAACCAAACCAAAAATAAACCCAAACCAAAACACCAAACCCAATGTTAACACCAAACCACCAAGCAAGGCCCTGGGGAGCGGAGGGGGCCTGGCGCTCCCGGGCGGAGAAGGGCCGGCTCCCCGGCTTGCCTTGCTGCGGGGCAGCGGGGGGACCCCCGGAGACTCTGCCCGTAACGAACGCGCCCTCGGAGGAGAGCGGGGACAGCCCGGCCCCGCCACGGGGGGCGCCCCGCGGGGGCGGCCCCCCGCCC